AACATCCTAACCTACCAGAACTAACTTGAGCAACAATTAACAGAACAGAATGAATGCGGTAAGACTAACAAACACTCAGTCATGCCAACCATCGCATAAGTTAATCTGAATAGATCCCGATCAATAATACCAAGGAACCATAGTTGCTTAAGTAAGTGTCAGCAACGTCCTATCGATATCTCAAACCCAAAAGACCAATCCAAGGCAAACCACAAAGAACATATGGTATTGCGAAAAGCTATAAGCCATCAAAGAGAACAACTAACCATCATGAAAGATCATCAATCATCTCATCAATAGAGAAATGCATAATTGTCATCCAAGAAAGAATCCACCATCCCAAAGAATGGCAAATCATTTTAGATCAACGATAATCAAGCAAAACCTTCGACAAGGATAATCAACTTTCCTAGATGATAGTCAATCATCACCAATGATTGCTAGATGCAAATATTAACAACATCGAAGCTAACAAGCCAAAATGCCTTCCCCAACAACTTCTAACAAATGGAACAATGAGTACAAAACTCAAGGAACTAAAGCTCGAAGAAGCCTATAGCCAAGTCTTGCCTAATAATGATCACTTGAAGCCAACTTCAATGCGAAAGAAGAAATCGTGATGCAACTCATAATATCTTCCTCAACACATCTATAAGCCAAACTTCATAATGCCAAATCTAATGAAGAGCATGTCTGCATCAATCCAAAAGTTAAGCATAACAAAGCTATGCTCAACAAGTGATCATCAAACGATCGTCCATGAATCCATCTATAGCAAGACATAACTCACTTCATAACAAGCCCAAAAAGAATCATTAATGATCACTATATCCCAAACTCAAATCTAGCAAGGACTCAATATTCTAATATCAATCACTAACTCTTCCTCTCGTAGAGTTAGCATAGTCCACGACTAAATCACTTTTCAAGGAAAAGCTAAAGCTTAACCCTCTACTAAATAATCTCGTCTAGAACACAACTAACTCAACTTGCCACTCAGTTCGTTTGAACGTCAACACAGTTGTTAACTAGCAAATGCCCGAATGCCAACAACACAAAGCTATAGCCAAATCATCAACACTATCTTCATCAAGACTAATGAAACTCAATATCAATCCTACGGAGAGACATTTCATTTCACTTGAATCTCAATATCAACTATGTCAATGACAAGGCATCACTTCAATGCCATCAACACCATAACAAAGCTAGAAGAAAGCATAAGTGAATCACCACTCAAAACTTCCTAGCAACTAAGCTAACCAAGGTCAAAGATACTTTACTTAGTATCCGAGACCAATCCTCCAACAATACTCAGTAACAGAGAACAGATCATCATGGAGTGATTCACCACGTCCAAGACTCAATAAAATCCAACACTATGGACTAGATGTAACAAAATGATATCGACAGAGGTAGAGTCGATATGTCAACATGAAGAAAACCATGTAAGTCTAACGACACGATCCTCCGCAACATCATCTGGTAAAGCAAGCCCATCACTGCTAAATCATCATCGAGCGAAGAAAGTATCAACAGTCTTTTGACAAAGTCTACAAGTAATCATTAGTCACAAAGCAACTAACAATCACCCTTCAACTTGCCTTCACAAGACCCAAACACCAACTCTTATCATTAAGTTATATACTTGTCCAACATGAATGTGATACCCCAGGTACGAGATAAAAGTTCATAGACAAGCACAAACTAAATGACCACTCGAATCTAACTCAACCACGATAAGCTCACCAAAACATTTAGCCACTAACTCTAAGCAAGAGACTAGCTACGCATGATCAACACTCAATCGAAACAAAAGTGAAGATCATAAGATGGACTCATGTCGGTACACAACCTCCTCATAGACAAAGCTATAGTATGGGTACCAACACCTCAACTCAAACAACTAAGTTGGACATCCCCATCCTCAGCCAAGGTGCAAGGCTACTAAGACTAAGTCAAGATTAGTGAGAGCTCACTACTCTCATAGAGTCTTAGCGAAATGCAAGGTGCAACCTGCTACCAAGCAAAACACTATAAAAGAAGGGCACAAGGGTCACCCTTCTTAGAAAAGCGCATTAGCCACTTTTCTACACTAACTCTAGACTCTATCCAACTCAATTGCCTTAGCCCCAAAAGTTAGCATCCCTTTCGGGTCGCATCATACAAACTATATACAAAGGTCTAAGCTAACCAAGGTTAACTCCAACCCCTTCACTAGTTTGTACTAGCTTACGAAAATGGAATGGTTTTCGGCAAAGTGATCAACAGATCAGCCATTGGGGAAGTCTAAGAAAATTTGTGGAAAAATTTCCATCATAGAGAAAGAATGACTCTCAGTCCAGGATTGCAAACTTTCAAGACTCAACCAACTTCCTCCTACTAACAACTTCACATAGGTTCACCTCAACACAAATTTTCACGACCCATAATATGCTTAAGCATCGAACATCTTTGCCCATTTTTCCGACATCCAACACCGACATTCGCAAAAATGCAAAATGAACATCCAAGGCTTGATCACAAAAACCACATCTTCGGATATCCACCTTTGCACTAACACTCTTCTTCACTCATGGTACATAGAACAACTCATGGAACCATCGATAGGTTAACATTAATCCTGCCAACTCAAAGTGTAACCTTGAATTGCTAATGTGCCTCACTCACGAGCCCAAGCGCAAACTCGTGTAAAGTCAATCTACCCTATGAGCCCAAGAGCAAGCTCACATAATATGGAACAAAAAGGTAACCAAAACCTATCCCAAGGAACCAATGCGAAGTCTTGCACCAAAACGTGTACCCACTCGGATCATCGTTTTCATCTCTGCGTATGCAATGAGACTAGTTGCCCAATCTCATTGAATAGTTCTCGCCGAGACTCTACCTCTGATACCAAATATAGCGCACGTGGTTTTGACCCTTTATCCTATGGTGATTTACCAT